TAGCAACTGCCTGCATAAGATGTTTGCTGATTCCTTCTTCTTAGATGTAGATTAAGAAATCCAGTTTGGTCTAGTACAGGGGTAGGCAACCTTGGCTCTTTTATGACTCGTGGACTTCAACTCCCAGAATTCCTGAGCCAGCATGGCTCAGCATGGAAACCTCTCCCTGTCCCCTCAGCATGGCTGGCTCAGGAATTCTGGGAGTTGAAGTCCACAAGTCATGAAAGAGCCAAGGTTGCCTACCCCTGGTCTAGTAGTTAAGGCACTAGGCTAGAAAGGGGAAGCCTGTGAGTTCAAGACTAGCCTTAGCCATGAAAGTCAGCTGAGTGACTTTGGGCCAGTGACTCTTGGTCCAATGCACCTCACAGGGTTGTTGCTGTTGTGGGGAGGGGAATAGGAGGAGGAAGGTTGTTTGATACGTTCGTCACCTTGAGTTATTTGTACAAATAATAAAGGCAAGATACAAATAAATAAATAAGAGATGAGAGGACACAAGATCACTCAAGTGGTATTGTGCCTAAGGCAGGACTAGAATTTACAATCTCCAGGTTTCTAGTCTGGTTACTATAAAAATACTATCTTTTATAATAAAAGTGTAAGTAGCTTTTAGTTTCTAGATGGGAAAGCACTGGATAATACTCCCTCCCCCCAAAAAATTAGTTTATTCATTTTCCCCTTCCCCAAATAAAAATAATTAACTCAATTTCCAATGACCTTTGTAGTCTCCAGAGGCCAACATCTGCTTCTAGCTCAGTGGTTCTCAACCTGTGGGTCGGGACCCCATTTGGGGTCGAACGACCATTTCACGGGGGTCGCCAAACAACGCAGTCCACCATTTTTTTCCCCTTTTCCTTAGCTGTGCTACTCCCTTTTATTCTATTGGCTTTTGAAAGTCAATAGAATAGACTCTCTTGAACAGAGTCTAATTCTATTGGCTTTCAAAAGCCAATAGCAATTGTCCAGGCTGTCTCTGCCCTGCTGAGCCCGCCAAAAGTCCCATTCTGCAAACAGTGCTGCACCAGTTGAGTAGTCCTCAACTTACGACCGGTTGGGGGTCGCGGCATAAAAAAGGTTGAGAACCACTGTTCTAGCTAGAAGAAGTTGCTACCTCTTTTCAACAGTCAGGAGATATCATCTCTTTTCAGTTTAGCTTTCCAATAAGTATGGCACAGCTAAGTATCAAAAATGTCAGTTTTGAGATGCTGTATTTTAATCAATTTATACAGGTTAAAAGCCTTTATATTTTCAGTAACATATATTTTTTTTAATTTAGGAGTTACTATGCCATTATTCTAATCACTTTCTTTAAGGGTGGTGCTATATTTCTTGGGTTTATTTTCTTATCCAGAATAAAAAATAAAAAAAGAAGGACATCCTGATCAAAATCCATTTCTGTGAAGGAATATGCAAACTTACAACTTCAATAGCAGCTCGTGAAAATGAGCCTATTGATTCTATTCTACCACGTCCTGACTATCCTCCAATGCCCCAGATCCCAGTGACAAGAATGCAGGAAACCAGCACTTGCCAGAGACAAAAGAGTTCCCCACGGCTTCATCTCCACTTTTATAAATCACACTACAGGTAGTCTTTGACTTACAACCCCAAAATTTTTGTTGTTAATCGATAACATTTGTTAAATGAATTTTGCTCCATTTTACAACCTTTCTTGCCACAGTTATTAAGTGAATCATTGCAGTTGTTAAGTTAGCAACACAATTGTTAGAGTGAATCTGGTTTGCCCATTGACTTTGCTTGTTATTAAAGGTCATTAAAAATGATCACAGGATCCTGGGACGCTGCAGCCATCATAAATATGAGTCAGTTTCCAAGGGTCTGAATTTTGATCACCTGACCCTAGGGATGCTGCAATGATCATAAGTGTACAAAATAGTCATAAGCTACTTTTTTCAGTGTTGTTGTAATTTTGAATGGGCACTAAATGAACTGTTGCAAATAGGAAGAAAATAATTATCAATATATAAATGCCATTTTTGTTAATTTTCAATTTTAAAAAATGCTTATAGTGCGTTTACTCAACTTTCTGTCTGGCTCTGATTTTTGCAGACTTCAGGCCTTAGACATTTCTGATCTGTATCCCTTACATCTTTTGCTTTGGAGAGTTATATTTATGTTTTTGCTCCCTTTGATATCTGGATTTCCTACTATTTTCTAGTTGGCTTTTTTGAAGTATTTTATTATTAGAGCAGAAAATGATTCAGTGCTAATTAAACAACTGAGATAGAAAGTAATTTTCCTGATGTTTATTTATATCTCAAGTGTACAATGAAGCTAACTATCTGTAATGTTTAAAGAAGTTTGTACTTAAAAAGTTGATAACGTTGTTTGGTTCTTTCCAAAACTCAGTCATGTTTTCTTTTGCACAGAAAAGAGAAAACCTAATAGAAACATATTCATTTACATCCCTTATATCCATGTTTCTCTTGGAGATCAAGGTACATGGTTCAATTTACAAAATGTATCAATCTCTCATATTTCCCAGATGAATGTATAAAACTGTACTTCTGCAAATTAGCTGAAAAGCTACTTTTGTATAGAGACTTAAAAGCAAATATTTCATTCACCAAGCTCCTCTAATCAGAAGGAGCAAACATTTTTCTTTTGTCCTTTTATTAGTAAATTTCATTATAAAGGATGGATATAAAATGGTTTAAGCCTAAAGAGTGCTAAGTCAGAAACTCTTTTCAACCATATGATTTTTCCCCATGAACAAAGTCTGTCTTAATGTCTATTTCCTCTCTTCTTTGATTTGGTGTGTGATTGCAGTGCTAAGGCAGAAGTGGGGAAAAATAGAATGAAAATAAAAGCATTTTGAAAAATGTTTCAAGCTGGGCCACCTGCTATGATAGACCTGCGGTTAATTTGATTGCTCTGAGGATCAGGAATAAGCAGGGACAAGCACATCCTGTTTTTTCACAGGTGGCAAGTGCACGGAATAGCTCTGCTCAATTCTGAAAATAAAAGGGAAAAAAAACCTACATTATCCATACTTTTCAATTGTTTGACATTTGTTTTAAGTTCCTCTCTCTGTTTCACCAGACGCTCCAGTGTTCTTTTTATATATAGGTCCTGCTTGTGTGAATCAGTATGCATAAATTTAAACATTTCCTCCTTACATTCTTTTCTTTGAATATTCCTATATAAACAGTTTAGTTATCTGGTAGCCTAAATGGCTATTCTTATCTGTGGTGAAGCTATGGAGGTTGGGTTGTAGGATTTTGCTCTGGGCTATCCTATCACATACCCTTGCCACTTTCTATTCCTACCTTTCAGTGCTGTTAATCATCACTAGTACTTGGATTCTGTCCAATGCCATTTTCCCTGGGGATGATTTGTATGCAAATGAAGCACACAGAGTTTCTGGCAAGGGCAATAAAACACTACAAAATAGCACTCCAAAAGGATTAAGAGAGCTGCAAAAAGTTGCAAAATGTTACCTTCTCCAATGAGAAGAACATTTTCAAAAGGAACTTATCCCCAAAATTAAATATTTAAATAAGTCTAATGTGAGCTGGAAGAGAGATGCCCTATTTCTTCCATTCCTAACCCAAGTTTCTCCTGATTGGTTGGAAATAGAACTCCCAGAATTCCTAGCAAACTGAATGCCCTTCTGGCTATAGAATGCTAGAAATTAGTGTTCCAATCCATTTTTCTTTGGTCCCTGGCCAAGTTCAACATAACCTACTGTTCAACATGACAGCCTCTATTGACAGGCACTTTATAAATTACAGTATTATCCCTGCCATACCTTCCACACCTATTGAGAGGGGTGGTCTTTTCTTTAAAAAGCAAATTTCCCTTTCACTATTACATTAGTGAGCAGATTGTGAAAGAAGAAGAAAAAATGCTACCTGTTTATCAAGGCATACAAATCTGATTTATGCATCTTAAGTCAAGGTTCACTACCAATAGTATCTTGATGTATTAGTAACCTAAGCCCAGATCAAACCAGCTTACAAATTACAAAAATAAAAAAGGTGAAGACAGTGCCCAAGACCACCCAATCCCTTCATCTGTGCTTATGATATTGGAGCACATACTTCAATCACACAGCAGTAGCCGCTGTCTTGACTCTTTTGACCTCAATCTGCTTTAGAGGCAGATGAGAACAGTCTGCTGTCAACTGAATAAGGGTTAAAAGTGTGGGTTGCCAAGATTTCAATAAACCCATGTAGCTAATAAATGTCTGATACATATGTGATATTAACCCATTGTGGTGTAGAAATCACAACCCAAAGCAGGGGTGTCAAACTGCCAGCCCATGGGCCGGATGTGTCATGCCGAAACTGCATCCACCCCAGCTCTGGTAATGGGGAAAAAGTTGCAATACATCACGACACGTCACATGACATGGCAAGTTTGACACCCCTGACCCAGAGTTAAGCAGCAACAACCAGTGAACAAATAGATACGTGTTTTCTTTCAGTAGCAAAATGAAATACAATCTTACCAGAAAAGTATCCAATGGACCTTGCAAACAGACATGCCCCCAACTTCCAGAGGGAACCCAGCATTATAGATCCAATCTCAGCCCTCACTTAAACCCTGCACTAAACCATTTCCAATTAGGACACCGATTTATGCACCTCTTTACTCATAGGTGACTATTCTTGGGGCTAAATACTGATTTAATGGCACTAATTCACTTTATAGCAGTTTTTCAAACTTGGCCACTTTAAGAGGTGTGGACTCCCAAGTTTGAAAAACGCTGTTTTACAGGAAGACAGGGACCATCAAGTCTTTATTTTAAGTTCTCTCCCCATTTACCTTTTTAATAGTCTGGGGTTTTCTTTCGAAATGTGCTACCAATCCCTTAAGCCTCAATCCCTTAAAATAAAAGGTATTTCAGCCAACTGCCAAAGAAGGCAGGGCTCTCCCTGCTGAAGAACCAAAGGCCACGGGTCCGGGCCTGCTGGAAATTGTGGTCACAAAGCTCTTAGAGGAGGAACAATTCCTTATTTTTCCCACATTCCTCTTACCTCGGGGAGGCTGTGTAACAGCAGCTATAAATTGCGCGCCTGCCCCTTCTCATGCAGCCGTACAATCTCTTTCTAAAAAGGGAAGGGCAAAAAGTTTCGAACTTTAAATAAGGACTTGCGGTGGTGCAAAAGAAAGCTAAAATCCCGAGTCAAAAATATGCAACAGCAATTTCCCTCTCCGGTCGTCTGTCCCGCGCCAAAACAAAAGCTTTACTCTTTTAAGTTCCCCGTTAGACTGCTCTTCTCTTTCTTCAAACAACTTCGGAGGCTGCAGGGGAAAGTATTCACACCACTTTTGCTCGCTCGCTCTCTCGGCAATCCGGGGCAAAGGAAACTGCAGAAGAAAACTTGAAGGCTGGGCGCTGAAGGAGCAAGTACGGACATTTCAAAAAGAAAGAAAAAAACTTGTCTGCAGTTTCTATCTCGGTAAAACAGCCCCGCCTCCACTGAACACACAAGCAGCCTGTGCAAATACACCGCATGCGTAAATCAATCGTACACTGAACCTGTAGAAACAGCGAACTATTTTACCCCTGAAAATTTCCCCAATTGTTGCTTAAAAATACACGAAGCCTGTTTTTGAACTGTGCATAGTATTCACCTAACCAGGGAAATAGACCTTTTAGGGATCGGATTTGAAGGAGGCAGCTTTCATTTATTTGCAGACTGTGGAAGGGGATGTTTCCTTTCTTACAATATCAAGCCTCAAAAGTTTTTGCCCCTGCAGATATAATCGACTGGAGCAGGGGTAGGCAACCTTGGCTCTTTTATGACTCGTGGACTTCAATTCTGGGAGTTGAAATCCACGAAAGAGCCAAGGTTGCCTACCCCTGGACTAGAGTGATATTCTTGTGATTATAATGTGGATACATACATTGTATTGATATTTGAATGTATCATTCAAGACAATGAATCCGCATGCAGACAGGAAGTTGAACAACTAGCCTTCTAGTGCAGTCAGAACAATCTTGAACCGAACATACTCAAAACTGTGGAAATGATAGTAGATTTTAGGAGAAATCCTCTTATTCTACCACCTCTTACAATACTAGAAATCACAATATCAAGAATAGAGACCTTCAAGTTTCTAGGTTCTATAACATCTCAGAATTTAAAATGGACACAAATGTCATAAAAAAGCACAACAAAGAATGTTCTTCCTGTGCCAACTCAGAAAGTTCAGACTGCCCAAAGAGCTGATGATACAGTTCTACAAAGGAATTATTGAGTCTGTCATTTGCACCTCTATAACTGTCTGGTTTGGCACTGTAACCAAACAAGACAGACACAGAATTCAATGGACTGCAGAAAAAACAATTGCTACCAGCTTGCCTTCCATTGAGGACCTGTATACTGCATGATCCAGAAAGAGAGCTGTGAAAATATCTACCTCATATCCTGGACATAAATTATTTCAACTTTTTCCCTCAAGACATTATAAAGCATTGCATGCCAAAACAACTAGACACAAGGAAAGTCGTTCCCCCTCCCCGCAAGCCATCACTGCTAAACTAATTCTCACAATACTGTCAAACTACCTAGTAGAGCTGTATTACTATTATTCTTCTCATTTTCCTATTACCTATTTCCTTATCCTCTTATGACTATAGCTTTATTGCTTGTATCTTATGATTTATATTAATTGTTTTATTCAGTATCCTAGTATGATTTATGTTGATTGCTTAATTAGTATCCTATGACTATCACTAAGTGTTGTATCTAATGATTTCTGATGAATGTATCTTATGATGATTATAATCATGATTTATCACTTATTGTTTGTATGTACACTGAAAGGTTATGCACCAAAGACAAATTCCTTGTGTGTCCAATCACATTTGGCCAATAAAGAATTCTATTCTATTCTATTCTATTCTATTCTATTCTATTCTATTCTATTCTATTCTATTCTATTCTATTCTATTCTATTCTATTCTTAGCACAGGCAATAGAGTAAACCATCAATGTCAACTGTCAACCTAATCTATCCCAGAGTAGAGAGCACAAGATAGCCAAAATAAGTGAACTTGACTGACTGGTGCATGAAAGTGACCAATGCCTTTTTGATAGGCAAAAAATGAAAGAGGATGAAAGAAAATCCATCAAATATGGGAGCTACACTTTGTGATTGCTGAACAGTGGCCTACCTTAAATTATCCTTTACATACCATGTTTCCCCAAAAGTAAGCCCCCCCCAAAAGTAAGCCCCAACTTGATTTTCCAGGATGGGCCTAATATAAGCCCTAGTTTGGGGGGAAGGGTAGGGGTGGGGGGGTGAAGCTGCGCCATGAGCTCCACATCTGCAGAAATGGTCTGAAGCATCATGCAGTGTCCTGCCGCAAGCGATGGCAATGGCCTGAAAAGCCACTCGGCTTCTTGCTGTGAGTAACAGCAATGGCCCGAAGCACTGTGCAACCTCCTGCTGTGAGTGACGACTCTGGCGCGATGAGCCACACTGCTTGACAAGTGTTGGGGCAAGGGAGGCCTGGCTGCAGTGGTCCTACTGGTAAAGTAAGTGGGTGTGGGGCATGTGGGACAGCTTCACTCCCCCTACCCCTTAGTGCGGTAACGGTGCAACGCGCCACATGGCGTCCAGCTGCAAGTGGCAATCGGCTGCTGAAGAAGGCAGCAGCACGACAGGTGTCAGGGTGTGGGAGCTGTGGGAGCTGTGGTGGTCCTAAGGTAAGACACCCCCCCAAAATAAGTGCAGCTAGAATGAATGTTTTGTAAGCTGATAAACTGATACGATAAGATGGCAAGATAAGGCAAGGCAAGACAAGACAAGATGCCTGTTTATATGAGGAAGCTATCAGTCAGAGCAAAGTGGAGAAACTGTCATGAGAGGATGACAACTTCGGAAAAACTAAAAAAATTGTACAAATGGGATTTGTTCTGAATTAGCTTAGAGAACTAGTGAATAGATAAGAGGACATTGGGCAAAAAAACCCCCTAAGACTGGGAGGAGATAGTTTCTACCATTCCTTACTTAGTTTACTTTTCAATTATTTTATATAAAAATCTAGAGAGAAAGGAGAAACTGGTTTCATACTTGTGTTTAATTTGGCCCAGATTCATCAAATAATGGGAAACAGTTACAGGAATTGAAATTGGTACATCCTGCAATATCTCTTGTATTTGCAGCACATAGCTTCAGTATAATGAGGTAAAGAATACTTGTGCATCATTGTTTCTTTAGAGACAATGTACTTTTTGGGAGCAAAATTATAATGTTCAGCACAAAAAGACAAAACCCCAGTGTCAACAGATATTTGCTAATATTGAATAAAATATTATTGCAAATGTTATTAACACCAAGTTTAAGTTATTATAACATTGAGAAATTGGATCTAGCCTTGTTTTCTTTGCTTTCCTCATCTAGACCACAAACCAAACGCTATGCGAGGAAGTGATTCTTTACCCTCCAAAACACGCTATTTAGTAGTGACAGTATATCAATATTTTCTTCTACTATCATAAAAGCTTGCGGACATGTGATAAAGCAAAGAAATATTGGTGTAGGATTCATACATTAATGCAAAAAATTCTTAAAGTGAACATAAAGATTAAACCAGAAACTTTCCTTCTGGGTCTAATGGAAAAAGACTTGGAAAATTTTTTGGGAGCTCTGATTTTATATATGGTGACCACAGCAGGACTGCTCTATGCACAGAAATGGAAGGATGCTTCAATTCCCACCATGGGGTGAATGGTTACAAAAGCTGATCGAATGAGCAGAAATGGCTAAATTGACTGTTTTGATAAAAGATTGTACGTACTTTGTTTATACTTTGAAAGCGTTTCTGGATTTTGTGTTTGAGGTGGAAAAAAAATGATGCCATGATTTGGAGTTTTACTGATTAGACTGATTTGTTGATACAAAAATGGTTAGGTCATACTACTATAAAAATGTAAAAAGTTGAGATTTTATTACAACAGAGGGAGTCAGAAGTCAATGTCTTTTGTTTTTTCGCCTCCCCTTCTCCACACTTTTTCATTTTTCCTTTCCCATTGTTGCCCCTTACTATTTGCTTTTGTATTTTCATATTTTATGTTGTAAATGAATAAAATTATAACAATTACAAATATAAAATAAAAGCTTGCAGCTACTGTCATCTTCAGCAGTGACATTTATCAAGGATTACCTAGACAGAGCCCCTCACAAATATTGTTTGAAATTGCACTTATTGCATTATTCACCGTCTTCTACAGACTCAATGATGAGTAGAAGGCACTTCATCTTGGCAACCAGAAAGGGCCTTGCCACTTGTAGCCTAGCAATACCCCGTCCAAAGCAAGAGCATTTTTGGAATAATAATGCTGGCCAGGTAGGCTGTCATTCCAAACAATTGCTAAATATATGCTTGTAAAATTCTTAGATCAAATCTAATTTGCAATCTCAAAATAACAGTCTAATTTAGAAATATTTCCCATCTCCTTTATTGGCTTTCCTTCATAGATATAAAACCCTGAAATATAAGATGTGCACACTTTTTCCCTTTCTCATACTTTTTTTTATCAACTACGTGTGCTGTACAGAGAAGTAGAAAGCCTATAAAACTATAGGAGATCCAATGCTCTTCTACATGAAATTCCTGAGCTGGTTTGAAAATAGTTGTGTACTTTTGTGTTTCCCATGTTGAATTGATTTATTTCTAATCCCATAACCTAATATCACCTGTTTTCCAAATGCTTCTGAGTATTTGAGAATAAAAGTGGTAATATAAGAAGGTTTTTTTCCCTTCTAAGTTACTGATTTAAGGAAAGGAAGTATGAAAGTTCATGTATTTTTTGGAACAAAAGATTTCCATAAGGAGAGCAAGGACATTTCACCCAACTCTTTCAGTTTGGTCCACAAAAATAATTCAAGATTTTCTGATTTCTGAAGTAGAGGTAGAGATTAATTTCCAGATTAATCTAAGGTAGGTTTGGAAGAGCATCCATGATTTCTGGAAAGTTCTAGAAGCTTATCTCAAATTTATGTAAGACTTACTCTCAAACTGGCTGCCCCAGAAACCCTTTGAATCTTATGCCTCCTGCTTAGGCATACTAGCTTTAAAATTCCTTCATTTATCTTTCTTGAATTTCCTAAGATAGCATCTGATGGATTAAAGTCTTCATCCTGGTTCATCCAAGCCGGGAATAAATAAACAACATGGTGACTGCTTTGGGAAGAAGGTTGCAGTTTATTGAAGAGCCAGAAAGATGGTTCTTGCAGGAAAGACCAGAGAAAAGAAGGGCTGAGCACATGGGTAGTAGGTTTTTATACTCTCTCTAGCCTTTTGTTTGGAATAGTTTCCTGTTCCTGTGGCATGAACTTTGAGGCTATTTCCTGTGTCATTTATTCTGACCTGAGAGGTGTGCCATTCTTTACGGTGATGGGTTAATCCTATTATCATATCCTGCTTCCCTGGTCCTGGAGCTAATGACTCCT